TGTTCATTAAAATTAATTTTAATAAAAAAGAGTCCTTGAGAAGAAAAAAGTTTTCTTTCCCTTTAAGTCATTTGGGCAGAAATAGAGGTGGAAATAACAGTGAGGAGACCTTAAGGTAATCAAGACATCTTGAATGAGATTATAAAAATCCACAGGATTAGAGAGCTCTGGTGGCCTAGTGGCAAGAAGTTGCACTGCAATCCCAGAGGCACGTAGTTTGAATCCACCAGATGCTCTGCTGTAGAAGGACGGACAATCCCCTCCTCTATCAGTCTGATCCAATTTGACGGTACACACACACACACACACACACACACACACACACACAAGCCACAGAACTGAAAATAATGGAAGAGTGCATCATACAGCTGAAGAAATTAAGAAAGAATGAATACTAAGGAGGCAATCCACAAATGTCCACTATCAGAGCAATACATAAATTTAAAAAAAAAATGCCCTCTTCCCTCACAAAAGTCCCCTACCTGTGTTTTTCTCTAAAACATGTATTTTTCACCACATCTACAAGAGTAGAACTTTAAAACTATATTTTTAAAGAGTCCAAAATTATTCCTAGGACATATGAAAAAAAGAGCTAAAAATAAATGTGAAATTCAAGGTAATTACAACTTAGAATAATGTACCTCTAAAACTCCAGGTAAGTATAAATTTGCTGGAAGAGATGTGATTGTACATGTCAGATAAAATCAAAAGACCTAGTCCATTGTATACTTGGGAAGACTTAATAGATCTGGAACACTCCCTGAAGGAAAAAAAAATGCTTATAAAACAATTACTACATTGAAACCAATAAGAAATTCTTCTTTACTATTCAATTAATTTATAACACCCAATGGTTAACAAAAATACTAACAAAGTCCATTATTCAAAACCTGCCACTTCTTAAAACAAGAATATTTTTTTAACATGGCAAAAGAAGCACTAAAACACAGATTACATATAGGAGGGCCATAGGTCTTTTTCCTTTTGTCCTTCAACAAATAGCTAATCAGCACCTATTAGGGATATGAACAAGAGTCCTGGAGGTAAAGTTGTTAATCCATTCCTAGGCTAACTAGAAGATTGGCAGTTTGAACCCATCAGCAAGAAAAAGATGGGGCAGTCTGCTTCGGTAAAGTTTTATAGTCTTTAGTCTTGGAAACTCTATGGGGCTGTTCTGTTCAGTCCTATAGGGATGTTATGAGTCTGAATCGATCAGACAACAAAGTTGGGTTTGGGGTTTTAGGTATATGAGTATTTTGTATTATGTGGTTTAAAAGAAATGTGAGATATAAAATTGGTGCTTAAGGAGTCATTTAGCATAGAAAAAATAAGTCTAGTGGGAGGTAAAAATCTAAGAACTTTAAGTAGAATTAAGAGTTTTTAAAATATTAAATTTAAGGGAACATTAAGAAAGCAGAGGATCAAAAATGAAGGGCGAGGACGCTGGCTGCATAACTCAAATAATGTAATCAATACCACTGAACTGTACATGTAGACAACCTGAACGGATGTATATTCTTATTGTGTATCTTCTAAACAACAAAATTATAATTTTTAAAAATACTAGATAAATAGAGGAAAGTAATTTCTCTTTCATGGTTTGTGAATTAAGCTTTATTACAACCATACTTTTGTGTGTGTGTGTGTGTGTGTGTGTGTGTGTGTGAAAAATTTGTATTAGAATTAGCCAGTTGGACTCAGTTTAGATGATCCCAATTTTGTTGGCAACATCCAAAGCATCATAGTCAGGAGCAAGTCAAACATAGACCTTCTTCTCTCCATCAGGCCTAATCAAAGTGTTGACCTTAGCTACATCAGTGTCATAGAGGTTCTTTACAGCTTGTTTAATTGGGTGCTTGTTGGCCTTGACATCCACAATGAACACAAGTGTGTTGTGTTCTTCTATCTTCTTCATGGCTGACTCAGTGGTCAGGGGAAACCTGAATATGGCATAGTGATCAAGCTTGTTTCTCCTGGGGGAGCACTCTTCTGGGGGTATTTGGGCTGTCTTCAGAGGTTCAGGGTCTTAGGCAACGAGAAGATGGGTGATGTGTAGATCTCTTTTTTTGTGGCTGTGGATGCCCTTCAGGACTGCCTTCTTGGCCTTTAATGTCTTTGCTTTGGTTTCAGTTTGGGGAGGGTCAGGGACTTCCTTCTTCACTTTTGACACCATCTTCATAGACAACCATACTGTTAAATACTTTAAATTTTACATAGATTCAGTGTTTCTTAAATACAATGAATAAAGCTGCTTTATTTCTATTCTTTTTTAAAATGCTAGATAAACATTAAACTGATGTAGTAGTCAAAATCAGGTCTAGTGCTGGCTGTGGAACACCATCAATTACTCCTGGGCAAATTCAAACTGAACTTGAAAAAAATGAAAACAAGTCCTCAAGAACCAAAATAAGATGTTGAGTTCATCCCACCTGAATTTAAAAATCACTTCCAGAATAAGTTTGAGGCATTGAATACTAGTGATAGAAGACCAGATGAATTGTGGGTTGACACCATTGGTTTCATCCATAAAGAAAACAAAACATTATTTGATTAACAAAGACACAAGACGGGGGAAAAGACCAAAATAGATGTGTACTAGAATGTTGAGAAGCCAAAACAAAGGGAAGAAGATTTCAAAAGGTAGCTCGAAAAGACAAAGTATGAAAACAGAATGTGCAAAAAGATGGAGTTGGAGGAATAAAGGTAAGAACTTGCTCAGTATTTCTCAGGTTGAAAGAACTGAAAAATTCAAGCTGCAATCCCAAAGGTACACAGTTTGAATCCACCAGATGCTCCACTAGAGAAGGAGAGGCCATCTCCTTCTGTGCCAGTCAGATCCTACCTGCCGGAACACAACAAGGGAAAAAAAAAATAAACCCCACAAATTCAAGCTTCGATTTGCAATGCTCAAGAAAGTTATGGGTAAAATCTTGTATGATCCAGGAAGCATAAAAAAAGAAAAAAATGGAGGGAATATATAGAGTCAATGTTCCAAAAAGAAATGGTTGACACTGAAATATTACAAAAAGTAGCATATGATAAAGAGTCAATAGTGATGAGGAAAGAAGTTGAAGCTGTATTTTTAAAACAACGGCAAAAAATTAGGGCTCAGGAACTGGGGGGATATCAACTGACATGTTTTAACAATGTTGCAACCCTGGACATACTCATAGGTCTGTGCAGGAAAATTTTAAAAACAGTTGCATATTTATTCCCATTTCCAAAAAGAGATGATCCAACAGTGAGCAATATCTTTATATCACATGCAAGCAAAATATTGCTAAAGATCATCCAAAAACAACTAGAAGGGTAGACTGAAAGAGAACTGTCAGAAGTTCAAGCTGGGTTTAAAAGATGCCACAGCTCCAGAAATATCACTGCTGATTTCAGACGGATCTTGCCTGAAATCAAAGAATATCAATAGAAGATTTATTTTTACTTTATTGGCTATGCAAAGCCATTTGACTGTGTGGATCATAACAAGCGTGGTATCAGAAAACTTGAAAATTGGTTTTTCTAGCCAGTGCATTAGCCCCCATTTGGGGCATGGTCTCCGACTACCTTATAACTGCAGACACATGGTCTTGCAACTCATCAACAACTTTCGGACAAATATAAGAGAATGCTTTCCAAACAAAGAGAAGGTGGCAGAGAGAAGGTAAAGAGACTGTGGCACTGCTGTGAATAGACTGTAACAAGGCGTAACCAGAGGAACACTGGCGATGAAACCTAAAATAAAGGCTTTGTGTGTTGGATGACTGAAGGAAGAGCTGTTTTTGTTTATTGTTGTTTTTTGTGGTTTTTTTAAAATCCAAAATTCTGTTTATTGAGATAATTTTCCATTCATCTTGGTTCAGTGTGTTTTTCTTAATGCTGCTTCCATCTGAAGGAGCATCCTTCTGTAAGCCTGGCTTTTCCTCCTATAGGCTGACAGAGAACCGTGGAGCAGCCAACACACAGAACTACTGTGTGTGCACGGCTGAAGACTGTGGTGATTTTATAGCATCCTGGACATTTTGCATCCATGAAATAGGAATCTGGGCTCTGCACCAGGTGCTTCTTCTTGTGTTTCCTCTTCTCTTCTGGAGAGGGATGAAGGCGATCTTTTGCGAGAGGCAGGCTGGCACTGGAGGTCACTGGTAGAAAGGCAGAAAAGCTGACTTGTAACTGTCCTGAGATAAACTTTGCTGGATGACTGAGGAAACCACAGGTGCATTTCTGCAGCTGAACTAAACCTGGATTTTCAATATTTGATAAATCTGGCTCAAGATTGCTGGCATAAACCTGAACATACATTTTGTGATATTCTTGCCTCCTCTACTTCCCAACATATTTCCCTAACAAACCCCACCACTGTGAGTAAAGTATATGAGTCAAGTTGCAATAAATAATTGGACCCAATGACTTCAAGAAATAGGTGCAGTAGCATATGGGGTAGCATGTTTAACCATGTATGTAGCTGTTTGTTTAGTACTGTGGATATAAATGATGGAGATAGTTCCCTTTTATGAAGCAGGCAGAACTCAGACTTGGCCACAACCACATTGCATCTGTTTATTTCACACAAGCTATCAAAAGAAGATGGAAGGAGTTAACAGAGTCACTGTACTAAAAAGAATTGACAGACTCAGAAGAATTTAATGAAACAGCATACGACCAAGAGACAACAGTGATGAAGGAGGAAATTCAAGCTGCTCTGAAGGAATTGGCAAAAAACAAGGCCCCAAGAATTGATGGCATACTAATTGACATATTTCAGCAAAGAGATGCTGCCCTGAAAGTGTTCATCAAGTTGTGCCAAGAAATTTGGAGGACAGCCACCTGGTCAGCTGACTGGAAGAGATCCGTATTTAGTCCCATTCCAAAAAAGGGCAATCAGACAGATTGTGAACATTATTTAACACATGCAAGCAAAATCTTGCTAAAGAGTACCTAAAAACAACTGGAACAGTACATGGACAGAGAACTACTAGAAGTATAGGCTGGGTTTAGAAGAGGCCATGGCACTAGGGACATCACTGCCTCTCTGTCAAATGGATCTTGGTTGATAGCAGAGGGTACCAGAAGAATGTCTGTGTTTCATTGATTGTGCAAAGGCATTTGATTATGATCATCACAACAAATTGTGGCTAACCTTCAGAAAAATGGGTATCCCAGAACACCTGATTGTGCTCCTACAAAACCTATACGTGAGGGGAGCTCTGGTGGCCTAGTGGCAAGAAGCTGCACTGTAATCCCAGAGATATGTGGTTCGAATCCACCAGATGCTCTGCTGGGGAAGGAGGGGCCATCTCCTCCTATACCAGTCAGATCCAATTTGACGGGTCACACACACAGAAAATAATTTTTTTAAAAAAATCTATACTTGGACCAGGAGGCAGTCATCAGAACAGAGCAAGGAAGCATTGCATGGATCAAAATTGGGAAAGGAGTGCATAATGGATGAAGCCTGTCTCCATACCTTTTCAATCTATACGCAAAACAGAACATTTGGATGCTGGTCTTTATAAGGAGGAATGTAGCATCAGAACAGGAAGAAGATTCATCAACAACTTACGTTATGCAGATGACATAACCTTGTTCACTAAAACTGAGGAGAACTTGAAGTATTGTCTGCACAAAGTCAAGGACTGCAGTCTTCAATATGGATTGAAACTCAATATCAAGAAAACAAAGATTCTCACCACTGGACCAATTGGCAGTATCATGATAGATGGGGAAGAGATTGAGAATGACAACAATTCCAACTTGCTTGGGTCTACAATCAATATTCTTAGCACCAGCAAGCCAGGCAATCAAAAGATCAATTAGATTGGGCAAGTCTGCTGTCAAGGACCTCTCCAGAGTGCTAAAATACAAAGATGTTCAGGCTAGAGACCAAGACGTGTCTTATCACAATGAAAGAACTTTTTTCCAAAGAAAAAACTAAGTGGGGAGAAGGGGAGGCAGGGAGGAAAATATGCAACCATGAATAAATGGAAATCCAAGTTCTTTATAAACTTACATTAAAATCTCAACTAAAAAAAAATTTCCCTAAAAAAAAAAAAGTGATGGCCAACAAGCACATGAAGATATGTTCAAAATCTCTAGGTCTAAGAGATATTCAAATCAAAACTACTATGAGATATCATCTCACTATAGTGAGAATAGCAAAATTTAACAGAACAGCAAACATCAAATGCTGGAGAGGTTGTAGAGAAACTGAAACCCTTATTCACAGTTGGTGGAAGTGTAAAATGGTGCAACCACTGTGGAAGGTAGTGTGGCACTTTCTCAAAAAATTGCAAATAGAGATACCATTTGACCCAACAATTCCACTACTGGGACTATACCCCCCAAAGAGACCATAACTGCCACCCAAGCAGATATATGCACACCCATGTTTACCGTGGTTTTGTTCACAAAAGCAAAGAGTTGGAAACAACCTAAGTGCCCATCAACAAAAAAACGGATAGAGAAGCTGTGGTATATTCACACAATGGAATACTACACTGCACTGAAAAACAAGGAACTCATGGAATATTATTCAAAATGGGTGACCCTGGAGGACATTATGCTGAGTGAAATATCTCAGTCACAAAAGGACAAATACTGCATAGTGCCACTGTTGTAAAACAGGACTGACATCGGTATTGGGGGGAGACTGAGAAAGATGGGATAAATAATGTATACTGCACTGAAACAGATGAGGGAGAAAACTGTTTAAAAGGATTATGTGATTAGGTATTATTGTTATGACAGGAGTCCAGAATGAAGGCTGCATAGTGGAGTGGACTTTGGGGGAGAGATTGTATAACAATGAAATAATTTCTCTTTTCCTTTTCAAAGAGAAGAGTTAATTGGGGGGACGGTGGGGTGGGCAGGGAGAAAGTGAAACTATGAATGAATGAATGGAATCCTCAGTCTCTGTAAACTTTCATTAAAATTAGTAATAATAAAAAATTATATATATTAAAAAAGATGTACCTTACCCAGGCCATGGTCTTCACAATTACTTGCTATGCGTCAAAGGTCTGGACAATCAATAAGTTTAAGAGAAGAAGAATTAATGTCTTTGAGCTGTGATGCATGAGAAGAGCAACTAAACTTACCATGGACTAGCAAGAGAACAAACAGGTCAGTTCTGAAGAGTGTGAAACCAGCTTGCTCTCTGGAGGGAAGGATTTTGAAGTGCCATCTCAAACACTTTTGGGCATGTTGCCAGGAGAGATCAATCATTGTAGAAGAACATCACAATTGGAAGGGTGGAGGGACATTGCAGGAGAGGAAGACCCTGGATAGGATGAATTAACACTGTGACTAGAGTAATAGGTGCAGGTGTGTTGGAGACAGTGAGATTGGCTCAGGATAAGGCAGAGTTCAGAGTTATTGTGCATAGGGTCACTATGAGTAGCAGGTGACTTGACAGCACATAACAACAACATGGTTAATACTGAGAAGAATGGCAATCCCACAACATTTAATTGTATTATAAATGTGAAACCTATACCTAGACCAAGGAGTTGTGGTTTGAACAGAACAAGGAAATAGTGTATGGTTTAAAATCAAGAAAGATGTGCATGAGGGCTTCATTCTTCCTCCTTACCTATTCAATTTGTATGTTGAGTAAATCACTCAAGGAGTTGGACTTTATGAAGAAGAATGTGGCACTGAATTGCAGGATCATCCATCAAGAACCTGCTTGCTTAAAGTAAGGAAGACCTGAAGGGTTTGCTACAGAAGATCAAGGACTACAGCCTTCAGTATGGACAGCAATTCAATTAACATGAAGAAGACAAAAATCCTCACTACTGAACAAATAGGCAACATCACAATATATAGAGAAAAGACTGAAACTGTCAATAATTTCATTTTACTTGGATTCACAATCAAGACCCTTGGAATCAACAGTCAGGAAATGTATTGCATTAGGTAAGTCTACTGTTTAGGATCACTCCAAAGTCCTGAAAAACAATGCTGTCAGTTTAAAGAACAAGATGTGCCTGATTCAACTCATGGACTTTTCATCATGGTGTGTGCATCTAAGAACTGGACAATGAAAAACTATGACAGAATAACTGATGCCTTTGAGTTATGGAGATAGACGTGAGTACTGAATATCCTATGGACAGCCACAAGAACAAACACATAGATCCTATAGAGGCAAGGATGTTGAAGTTTCTTCTCACATTCTTTATGCCTTTTGTTAGGACAGGCTATTCTTTGGTAATGGACATTATAGTAGGAAAGGTGGAGGGTCAGTGAAAGAGAAAACAAGCCTCAACAAAATGGACTGACAGACAGTGACTGTGTCAATGGGCTCAAGTATGTCATGGATGATAAGGACTGCACAGGGCATGTTCAGATCTGTTTGTTCATAGGGTTGCTATGAGTCATAGTTGACTCAGTGGCACCTAACAGAATTAACAACAGATAAATAGATGAAGGTAACTACTTCTCTCTAATTTGTTAAACTTCAGTGCAGCCATACTTTTAAACATATTTGTATATTTTAAGTTTTACATGGTTAGATTAATGACTCCTCAAATATTTTAATGAATATATAGCTTCTCTGAATTAACTAGCTGTAAGAATAAATAAATTTCTCATATTTTTCTATCAAACAAATCCTCCTGGGCTTCTATCTTATTGGCCTGTAGTGACACTTCTTTAGCTCCGTTGTTCTGCTAGACATTTTAATGTCCTAGTTGCCTTTTTTTCTTTTTTCACTCTATTCCCCACCACACTTCTTTCACTCACTGTTCTGTTTGCCACCATCTTTCTTTAGATCTTTGTTCTCTTTTGACATGCCATCACAATAATAGGACTGTTTCCATTTCTTTTAATTCATTATCTATTTCAGCTGGATGAGTATCCCCAGAACAAAGAAAAGCCCATGCAAATGGCTCAGTATGACTGCTATGTGAGCTGCTCTAACATTTTTTTTTAATTGTGACAAATATACAGAAAACATATACTGAACAATCCCCAATCTAGCTTTTTACACTACTTCACTACTCTGCTTCTACTTGTTATCAAAGGTCTGAGTATTCCCACCCCTGAGCTTTGGAAAAGCTGCTGCTCTTTCTGGAACATTGCTCTCGCTTACAAGACACAGCTTCAATTGCCAAAACTCTCTAAAACCTTAACAAGACAAGAAAGAGTAATTGCCTTCCCCTGTTTGGCTAAGAAACGAGCCCTGATAGTGCATTCATTATATGTTGGGCTGCTAACTGAAAGGTTCCAGTTTGAATCTACCAGATGCTCCACAGGAGGAAGATAAAGCAGTCAGTCTCCTCCTGTAAAGACTTACAGTC